CTGCGCCGGACAGAGACTGAGACGGTGCCGCTGCATGTCGTGCAAAACCTTTCACGGCAGCGTCATCAGCTTGAGATCGGTTTTTTGAGATCGGCCTTTTTAGAGACCGCCGATCAAACATCCCAAAGCGATTATCGGCCGATAGTGATCGGTAGCCGATCAATCGGAGCACCCAGGACCGGATTTACGCATAGGCATTCTAGGCACGTGCCTATGCTTGCTCGTCCAGGGGGGGCCCAAACACAATGAAGAGATATATCATATTTTTGTTATACTATGGGACATCTACAACAGTAAAAGAACCAAAACCCCAGAAGACATTGAGCAAATAAATATAACAAACAATAGGGTAAAAATGACAAACTATTTCCATGTCTTCAACCTTTTTTATGTACGGAAATCACACTTTCTTTCTCCTGTTCCCTTTCACACATGCACACACATAGATATGCACACACGCGGAGACGCGGGCAGAAACTTGTCATCAGCGCTGTGGCTGCCCCGCGAATTTATCAATAAAAGAGTTTCGCAGATGAAAAGCTACATGACATTTCTCAGTAGCGAGGTTCTTGAAGCAGTTCAACTTAAAAAAAAATAAAAAATCATACCCAAAACTTTTAAACGGTGGTGTAAGTTTTTATTGTCTTAACACCAAGAGCATAAAAGATCTTATGCAGTACCCTGTAGTAGGGATGTCCCGGGCCGATCTCAAGTATCAGGGGGCAATCAAGCATTTTTTTTAACTCATCGGTATTGGTTCTCCTAAGGCCAATCCTTATTTTATGTCAGCTGTCATGCCGGTGTCGTGCAGTAGGTGGCAGTATTCACTTTCCAGTAGATTTGCCAACCGCGATTATTCATGCCATTATTCATGCTTTCTAACCATATCTCCACTTTTTTACATTTATGTTGCAATTATTCTGCTTATTGTATATAGAAAATAGTAAAAGTTTACATCAGTAGTCCCATATTCTGCCAGTGTCTTTATACAGTATCTGCAAATATATACATAGAGAGAGTGTATCTTATATACAGTATGTATATACACACATATTACTTTTACTCTATGTATACATTGGATTGATTTTAATAACTTTAATGTACTTGAATTGTGCATCAAACACTAAGAATATACAAATATTGGATCAAGACTCGGTATCGGCAGATATTCAATATTCAATGACTCGGATCGGATCTGGGGCACAAAAAACCTGATCGGAACATCCCTACCCTGTAGGTTGTAATAAGCTTTATAGTGATATGGTGTTTTTTGTCCTCAACTGTTGTTGTTTCTCTCACAGAGCTCAGATACGACCTGCCAGCATCTTATAAGTTCCACAAAAAGAAGTCGGTAAGTCAATGTTTTGTTACAAACCCGTAAGTTAATTGCCACAAAAATATTGCACTGGACACATGTAGACACATTTTTTCAGACTTTACAATGACAAACTAGTTACATGATTTTTCTATCTGATTATTTTAGGTTGATATTCAAGTGGACTTCATACGATTCACTCCAACATAAACATGTTGGGCAAAAAGGAGTTTGTGTTGCTTTGCTAAATTTTAGTATTATTTTATGGATAAAAATACACTGTTCCTCAAAATACCTTTTCTAAATGACCATACTGCATCATTTTTGGGTGGATACCACAGAAATACCAGTGTCTATGTAGGATTTCCAAACACGCTTGTTGGAACTTTATTTAAATTTGTGCTTTCACATTTTTGGCAGCATACACAGTTGATAAAACATCACAATAAACAAATTACACAATATTTATAGTAAAATCCTGGGTTCACAACTATATTACAAATACAAAATCATCCAAATAAATATTAATAATACTAAGGAATAAATACATTTCTTGATTTAAAACACCAGAACAGTTTAGTTTTTTTGCTGCAAAACATTAGTCTTCAAAAAGGTACTGTGCAAAAAGTGAAGTGCTGTAATCTATTGTGCTGTTCAGTATATATTTAGAAACAGCCCTTTATCTTCCAGCAGAGATTACAGACAAACTGTGTCTCACACATTATCAGTGACTTCACGTGTTGAACAAATATAATATCATATTAACATCACACTCACCAGTTTAGAATTATATATCGTGGGGTCCAAACGTCTGAGATTTTCAGGATAACAATTCAAGTGATTAACTGAACTGAAAATGAAGAATTCTTGTTGGTTTGTCTCCCTTTTGGAGCTGATGTGAAACCAAAACCTGATGATCATGTTCTCCAGCATGATTTGAGATGATCCAAAGAGCAATGGACGAACATCTGACCATCAATACAAAGAGTCACATGATCCATGTAAGAAATTTGCATTAATTTGCATTTGCATGTAAGAATTATGCAGTATGGAATTTGATTTTAGTAATTTCCAGGTCTGGATAAGCATGGGAAAATATTTCCATACTATTACCCCAATTTTGTTTTAATATAAAATTGATAAGCAGAGTGTTTTTCACGCAGTTTGGAGCAGTAGTCAATACAGCCACAAGTTTAGTGAAAATGTGAGAGCAGATCTGCACTGTTTTTACAGATGAATATTGACAAATGACTGCACAATGTATTTAATATAATGCTAAATTTATAGTAGAACATTTGCTCTAACACTTTATTTATATATAGTTCAGTCATGAAACTCTAGATGGCGCAGGCGACAGGTTGTTAACGTAACCGATGATATTCAGAGAGTTAAACGACTTTGCACAAGCTGATTGGTTCATGCTGCATATGCAGCCAATGAGCTTACTGCCTTGCATTTATATGGCTGGCTAGCATTCACTAGAGATTCCTGCAGCGCGCTTTCAGAGTTTCTCTGAAACCTTCCACCTTCCCCAGCTCCACCTGTATTGATCTGCTACGGGGTTATTTTATATGCTATTTTTGCAGCAGCAGTATGTCTTAAATACTCACGGCACGGTATCGCCATATGCATTGGCAGTAGCAAGTTCCTGTACTTGCTTGCAACAGCAGCAATAATCTACAACTACAGCAATAACCAACAGCAGCAGCAATTCAGCAGCAGCGTAGCAGATCTGTTCCGCCAAGACCAAATACATTAACATTGTCATATCCATCACCTTGCTAAAATGTTCAGAGAGTTGTCATGATTGAACTATGTTTAAATAAAATATGTCTCAGACATTTAGACCCCACTGGACGTGGCTCCACAGACAGTGATTGTGCTGTGATTTCACACGCTGAACACACAAACGCAGCCGTGTGAGCGTGCAGCCGATGGGAGGTTTCCCACTATCTCCCAGCAGTCTATCTCAGGGTCGTACCTCTCTATACTCTGCAGATATGTCCCTTTAGAGTATGAATACCCACCTGCTACATAGATGCACCCGTTTATAACAGCCGAGCCGCACTCCATCCTTCTCTCCTTCATCGCACACATCTGTCTCCATTCATCTCTCTCGGGATCGTAACAGTCTGTGATGGTGGTCTGACCACCGACCAGATAAAGCTTATTGTTCAAGGACACCGAGCAAAGGCCGTACTCTGAAAGTAAAGAGTTTTGATGAGCTTTTCAAATCACAAGCGATAGTGAAGAAAGAGAAACCATCTGGGCTCATTTCCAAACCATTTAGCTTATCTAATACAAAATGTAGGTGGCTCACCAGGATGTGGACATATCGTTGTGATGCTCCACTCATTGATATCTGGCCGGTAAGTCTGAATCTTCTCGTAAGTGCAGGTTCCTCTGTACCCATAATGCCCTCCGGTTACATAGACTCTGTCATTCAACACACAAGCGGTTGCATTTCCCACGCCTTTAAAGTCAAAACAGAAAGACGCTGAACTTCCATCAACAGGCATATTAGATCTACAATATTTAAAAGTTTTTATGTGTAAGATTTTCTGACTTGTTAAAAAGCTGAAATCCTGGTGAAGTGCACTACGCATTAGATTTTAATTTAGAAAAAAAGTCTATTATGCTCATCATGGCTACATTCATTTGATGCAGTAAAAACAACAATATTTTGAAAAATTAATATCTTTAAATAACAGCTTTCTATTTGAATATATTTTAAAAAGTAATTTATTCCTGTGATGCAAAGCTGAATTTTCAGTAGGGCTGGGCGAAATGGCCAAAAAAATTATCTTCTATAAATTTTTAGGTATACAAGTAAAAATATTACGGACCTCAGTAGTTTATATATCTGTCTGAATATTTCTCCATGCATTTAAAATGCTGTTTCAGACTTTAAAAAAAAAAAATTTGATTAGAATGTTTTACCATGGTTTCTGATTTTTATTATGTAACAAATCAATCATTGCAAATGACATGACAACATTTAAGTACACAATCGTGTTCCTTTTTACAGTCTTTTTTTTTTTTCTTGCTTCAAATGAAATGTTGCCATTCATCTTGGATCTGGTAGATTTGGTAAATGCCTCTTAACTGAAGTATTTTTTTGAAATCCCTAAAAAAAATAGGGAAAAATACTTCCAGCACCATGGCCTCTAAAAAATTACTCAGAACTCCTCATTCAGGCAACAAATCCAATAGATGTGTGTAAATAAACTGAAATTCTCATACCTTGTATCATATCAGCCACAGGAAACCATCTCCTCTTCAAAGGATCATAGAATTCAGTTTCTTGAGTAGGAGCTCCTGTCGTATATCCACCAATGACGTATATGCATCCACGTAAAGCCACGGAGCAGTGGTAGTATCTGGCTGTGATCATGGGACATCCTTCTGTCCATTCATCCGAGTCTGTGTTATAAATCCACACGGTGCCTAAAGCATCCACAGTCTGTGTCCTGTATCCTCCGGTCACATAGATATCAGGGCCTAGAAGTGCCACGCTATAACTCTCTCTTTCAAAATCAGGCATGTCTTTGCCCTGAACCCATGTGTTGAAAACAGGGTCCCACGTGTGGACTTCACACAACGGATGCCAGTAATATCCACCAATAACATACAAGCTGCACGTTAGTTTTTTGCAGCACTGTGAGAAACCTTTGCTCGGCTTTAAGGAGGTACGAATCAGAGATCGCAATTTGTTTTCAGAGCAACCTTTGCGTAGATCCAAAGCAGTTTTGAGGCAAGCGTCATCCACTTCGAGATGGATGCATTTGAGAAGCTCTTGAAGGTGGTCTATTCGAGGAGCCGTGTCATGGGCGACCCATTTGAGCACCGCATCCAATAAAGTCACTTCTTTCTGCACATTAAGGTTCTCAGTTTCTAAAATCCCCATGAGCTTTTGGAAATCCACCTCTAGGAACTCCTCCTGAAGTGTGAGTTCTTCAAAGCGACTCAGTATGATCCTCAAAGCCTCGTGCTGCAAATCAGAGCACACGTGAAGCTCAGCAAACGAGTGCATCCCGAGGCAGTTATCGACGTCCAGCAGATGAATCAAGAAGCTCTCGCAGGCTTTCTTGAGCGAGTTGAACTGCAACAGGTCTGCGGCTTCCAGAAGACTTTGGACGTTGTTCTGGGTTATGCTGGTCTTTGACGTGTAGACGTAGCTCACCAAAGCACCCAGAATCTCTCCGTTTATGCAAGGTAGGTTGATGGTGTCGTTCAAACGTTCTCTCATGTCTAAGGTGAACATTACCTTGAAATAGGAGCTGCGGGCTGATAGGACAGCCTTGTGGCAGTGGAAGAGCTGTCCGGATGAAGACTGCAGGGTGACGTCTGTGAACAGACCGCTGCTGTGAAACTCATGAAGAGCTTCCAGCACCTCAGAGGAGTGAGAGGCATCGCAGAACTCGTAGGAGTAACCGCTTTGAGCTTTTCCTGACATTGCAACTGGAAAGAGATTTTCAAATGAGTTTTCAAGTGTCCTTACAAAAAAAGCTATATTACTAAATTATCATCAAGGAAAATTCATTTAAGTTGTAGAAATGTATATATATATATATATACACACACACACACACATACATGCATACATATATATATATATATATAAATAAATGCTTCTAGTTATGCGCAGCTCAGCTCTAGGATATTTTGTTTCCTGTCCATGACAATACGATAGCAACAAAGCCAGAACTAATGCAGGTAAAACCAAATTCATATTTTAGACACCATTTTTATCATATTTATTCCAGTAAATATTATTTTTGAACTTTCTGTATAGACATAAACCTGGTTGTATATCTTCACAAATGTTGACATTGGGCATTAAACGCGTTTTTAGCTAAATGTAAACAGTAAAACAATTTTACACGACCAAAAAATGCTAAATGTAAATGGTAACACAAAATATGAAATAGTTTTGGCATAGTAGTTTTTCTATATATATAATTTTCTGTTTCTACTGGGTTTACTTGTTTACCTAACACGTTTTACACAAATATATTTATTTTGAGCACAAAATTTAACCTAATTTAAGACTATTTTAAACCAGTGTTATTTAGCATCGCTAAAATACTATTAAAGTTTTTAATGCTTTGAATGAGCTTTTTTATTTTCCGTTTTAATTTTTGTTTAAGTTTTAGTAATTTTTTGGGTCGTTTTATTGTTTATTGTTTTAAATACATGTCTATATATTTTGTGTGTATTATTTTAGTTTTATATTAGTACATAAAGTGAAAATGAGAAATGCCTTTGGCAACTAACTGAAATTAAATAAGTATTTGTATATATTTAATAACGTTTATTTCCTTTCAAGTAACGAAGACGTTTCTTTACTTTTTACTTTTACTTTTAATCATTTAGCAGACGCTTTTATCCAAAGCGACTTACAAATAAGAAAAAGTAATTAAAGCTAAAACTCTAGAAATACTAATATATATATATATACACACACACACA